GTGTAATCGTGGAATTTTGAACAACTTTATAAAAGTTTTCTTAAATTTTATTTAGTAAAATGTACACGGAAAAAAGAGAATGATGTTGTATGTCAACAAGATCAGTTGAAATAACATCAGTATTAATAAGTGAAAAACATCAGATTGTTGTCTTAACAATCTGGATATTTAGTTCAATGTTTAAAATTAAAATCCATAGCGAATACAATTGAGTAAATTATTTATGTTTGCGGCAGCCCGTGACGTCAACGTTTAATTCAAGCGGCTTCATTTTGCTTAATTCAACAGCATTTTTTTCCCGTGTATGGTAAAATTTCAAAAAACTTATAAAATTCTTGAAAATATACCGTGGTGTCCCACACTTACATGATTTTCAGAATAAACTTTAAGAGAAAATTCTCTCCGTGTATTTTCCCTACTTGATTGCTTACGAGAGCCAATCAGGATGCAGAGTTTTCGATCAGGTGGCTTATGGCTAAATCCTGATTGGCTCTCGTAAGCAATCCAGTAGGAAAAATAGTATCGTGCGCCGTTGGCTTAAGCATCGCTAATGCCCATATAATTTTATGCGCGTGTCAACACATTTATATACTCGTATTTTGCATTTGAGCCAAATTGGAGCATGGGCGTGTTTGGAAGCCGGGGGGTTTCTGTTAAATTAATAGGCATCATCAGTCGATTCCACCGTCAATTTATTGCTCTCGGGGCGAAATCTGTTTAGTGGAAAATTCATTGTTAGATCGTGTAATCGTTGCGAAAAAAGACTTGTGATTGAATTTCGACGTTGAAAACCTGTTATCTCATATTAGATAAAATAGAGGATACTTTGCTCTACATGAAAAATGTATGTGTTCTATGCTTAAATCCATATGGGAAGGCATTAGTGTCTATAGTAGGCATCACTGTAGTAGACGCTTAATGTGGTCTATAATTATAGGATACATATTATACATATGTCCAGGCAGTCAGCTGCCTGTCTTGTGTACACACGTACGCGATGTTCTCTCTCTCTTTCTTTCTCTCTTTCTCCCGGTTGGTCTCGCAGAGAGAACGTGTTGTCGAATAACACTCGCGAATAACACGGCCTAATCAGCGCTCATAGTACGAAGATATTAAAGCTGCATGATGCGATCGCCGGCCCCCACCAGGGATATCGGCGCGCTTAATTTTAACGTCGCGTCAGCTCGTTCCACAGCAAACAGAGTCCTTGGATATTAATCGACGCCTCGTGAAGCTCGTTCCGCTGAATCTGGGTCTCGCCGCGGATGATATAACGTTCCTCCCGTTTGTGCATCGTTTATCAATCTCTCCGGCCGTTGCGAGAGACGGCCTTGTTTTGACTCGGCCGAGCCCGCCGGATAAACGTCGGGAGAAGAGCCTCACGAGGGCGAAAACCCCTGGTGCGAGCATACCTGGTATTTTCCGGTAGCTTTTTGTCCTCTTCTCCCATTCCTCTTTCCTCCCCCATCTCCTCCTCCTCCTTTCTCCCTGATCGCTCGTCTCCCTTCATCGTTCGTAGCCACTTGTGACACCCCTCGTTGCGTATACGTGAGACGTACGTTCATCACTTCCGCGTCCAGTTGCCTCTGCTCCGTTTGCCAAACGAGTCCCAGGGCGAAATCGTTTCGCGCCCGGCAAGCGCCGTTCCCGCGCGTGGAAATATTATTGAATAAATAAATGCCAGAGGCTCGCGCGCGATTAATAAATCAACCGATGAAAGAGGGAATCTGCGGCGTCACGACAGGGCGCCCGCGTCGTTGAACCGGTGTACGAATTTTGTTGTGTACCTTTTTCTCCAACGCGATGAACCGCGCGCCGATTACTCGTCGATCTTCGAAACACCGCTTCGCCGGATGATTGTTTGAAAATATTTATTGCGAGCGCGATCGGCCGGAAAATAATCTACTCCGCGTGTAACGATGCGTTATCGACGTTGCTGAAACGGAGGGCATAAAGAGACCTTAATGGCTCGCGTGGAAGCGACGACTTTGGAAATCCAATTTGTCCCGACCGTGCATTTGACGCCGGCGAGTGATTTCGCGATGTAAGCCTACGCGACGTGATAGCGGTGGATTTACCGGAGGGATGATACACGAGTTTGTATCGATCGGCGAAGCGGGTGCCATCCGGTCCCATCGACGAGAGCGGGACATTTCGGGCAATCGTAACATTTTTCCTCGAAGGTACAGTGCGGTGCGCTTTATCGGTTCGGGTCGTATCGTCAAAAGGCATCTTTGTTTAATATAATCAAGTAAGTTTCGTTTGAAAGACAATCGATCGATCGTCCCACGATTCTTCCAAGTTCACGGCGCTCGTCTCCAGCTTCTCCTTGAGAGTCGCGAGTCTGCGGCACTTGCGTAACTCTCACGAGAAGCGTGTCGTGAAGGTCTCTTGTATGCGACTCAAGTTCTTCTCTGTCTTGCCTTACGTTTACGACTAAGGCAGACTTAGGCCCGGTTTCGCGAACGTCGCTTAACTTTAACCTTGGTTTAATTCGTTCTTGGCCTCTTTCCAACTGTTACTTCAGAAGGAGACAAACGTCGATTAAAGTAAGATTAAAGTTAAGCGACGTTTGGTGAAACCTTAAGCGTTTACGGATTGTTCTCTGCCATCAGCCATGTGTTAAGGCAGGATACCACCTTTGACTGCGATTTTGGAGGCGTTTTTCATGAATTTTTTTTGCATACAAAGAGTGCCCAGAAACAAAATCGGTTTTAGTCATTCATTAATGTAACTTTAATTTGTAATTACAAACTGAAAAAGTTACAAATAATCTCTTGTAGGTGGCGCCAAAATACATTCCTTTGGAGGAACACCGTTAGACGGCGTGTCAAATTCCGCTCTGTACGTGGCTCCTAGAAAAAAAACCAAAGAATGTTCCTATTAACAACAATATTTTTTAATGCTGTACGTAGGGATTTTACGACATTTCGATTTTTAAGAAAATGGCGGTCATTTTAACAAAAAGGTCAATTTTTTAGGGTAAACCTTTTTGTTAAAATGACTGCCATTTTCTTAAAAATCGAAATTTCGTAAAATCCCTACGTACAGCATTA